CAAGGCCCTCATTTGCTCTTCCCTCTCTTTAGCCAAAGCTTGCTCCCTCTCCTGTCTCTCTTTTTCTAGAGCAAGTTCCTTCTCCTTCTGCAAAGCCTTCTCTCTCTCCTCCTTTTCTAAGGCCTGCTGTTGCTCAAACCTCTCTCTCTCCAAAGCTTGCTCTCTTTCTCGCTCCAGTGCTAGGGCTCTCTCTCGCTCTTCCGCCGCGGTACGATCTTGCCGACGTTTTCTCAGCTTCTCTTGTCTTTCTAGGTCAGACTCCATCTCTCTGACCCTCTCGTCAGGCACAGTGGGCTCAAGCGTACTCACAGGTACGTGAATATGGGCTGAATGTGCTCCTGTAACACCCTGATTGGTGCCTGGCATTATTGGAAATGGTACATGCTCTGCAGTGTTAGAGGTGTGAGTGGTGGCAGATACCAGGCTCTCTGGTGGTCCTCTGCCAGGAAATGATGTAGCTGAGGATGAATTGCTGTCTTGCCTATCAGCTTCGCCATCAGTGCCATGCCATCCTGCTCCGGAGAAAGCACCTTCTGACTCCATTTTACGTGCCAGAAGGGTTAGTGGGCCAGGCCTGCGTTCAGCATGTCCACTCCTTTGTGGCTCAGGGCTGCTACTACGGCTACCACCGCTGGAGGAACCAGAGCTGGAAGAACTGGGGGAACGCCTGGCTTGGGGAACATCTGGACTAGGTGGACTCTGTTTAGGGGTGTCAGGCAAAGGGAATGATAATTCTGGTGGAGGGGAAGGAGGCGGTGTTGGCTGGCGGAGTTGAGGTGACAAAAGAGACGGGATGTGTTGCTGCTGCGGTTGACGGGACGCTGCAGACCTCTCCCTTGTTGTGGGTCCCCTGGCTGGCTCTCTGAAGTTTCTCCTTCGAGCACTGCTGTCCCAGTCGTCATCGTCACCGTCCTCGTCACCATCCTCGCTGTCGTCATCGTCGCTGTCACCTGGGACTTCACTGGATGCAGAGCCTCTCTCTGGCCTTTGCTCAGCAGCAGGAACACGCATGGGCACAGAGCCAGAAGCAGGTGGACTGGACATGTCAGCCTCCTGGTTTCTGTTTGCTTGGCCCTCATTTACCGCACCCAACAATCCCTCTTCACCAGAGGTGCCAGCTGGCTTGTGCTGCTCAGGTAATGCTGGTGTGACATCCTGACAAGAACAGAAAGGGAGCACAGATTTATTTATTATCCCCTCCCACAATTTTAATCAGAAAGTTACCTTTACACCTAACACTTAAGAAGAGAAAGTACAATCTAACCTGGGCTGGAGGAGGACACGATGTACTATTGTTGACTTCTGCGTGCTCCTCTTGCTCTGTTCACAAAAGAGAAATAAACATAAAAATCACAAGACTTTACAATAACCATCCATAATGTGTACAGTATTTTATTCAACACAACTTGCCATTTGTATCATATGCTTCGCGAGCCTCTCTCTCCAGACGCTGCCTCAGTAGCTCCTGTTGCTTAGCCAGATACTGCTTTATAAAGCTGTTCTGGCTCATTTCCTCACCAATCTAAACACACAGAGAAATTTTGAAATACAATGCAAGATCTCAAGGCTAATAACGCATACTTTTTGCAGACATTTATGAGGTTGTGTAAATGCACGGTTTGCCATATATACATAAAAGGCCATCACTTATCAAGACACTTCAGCCTTTTATATGAAACTAAAACTATCTTTGAGATTCACACCTGAGAGTTTGGCTGTAGTCCAATATGAGCTGTGGAGGTCCTCTGCAAGTTCTCCAGCATGAGAGCCTGTTAGTGAGATAAGAGATGTTTTTAAGCAATAAAGGCAGAACACTCTTTCATGGACAACCTTGTAACTGCACTCTATTCAGTAGTATGTTTTATCACATCCGCTGATATTTCCGCCCTTGACAAAATATAATGAGTTTCTGTGTACTAAATGTAACAAATATCCTTAAGCATCGCTGCTCCTCTTTTGTAATAATCTTAGACTTGGAGAATTTTGTCTTTGATACTTTTTTAGAAAGCCCGCGGTTGTGAGAAACTGCAAAACTTGTCGACAAATGAAGGAGGATGATATGCAACAATGTTCCCATGTAAGATGGTAAAGGACATGAGAGTCTGTCAAACAATAATTGACAAGGTTACTCTAAAGCTGTGGTCAAACACCAACCAGTGATCAACTTATCTTAAATTTCATTGATCACCAATGAAACACCTTGTATAAATCTATGCACTATTACTACTACTTTATTCATGATCTATTACTTTGCACGTAGACATAGTTGATCTTTTACATTGCTATTATGTCCATTATAATGTCACTGTCATTATCAGATGCTGGTAGGACGAAACTGTTAATAACCTAATGGCTTTATATGAGCTTTGCAAGTACGTTAGCTGGTAACTACGACTAAAATAATCAACATATTCTGGGTTTTGTGAGAAAAGAACCAATGTCTGGCGTAATAGGTTATATAAACGCAATGCAAACACACAGTAAAGCGTTGATGGCTCAGTGAAATAATGCTATCGGAACTACCCAGTAACAAAAAGAAAAGAACGCCCTAGCTATCTTAATAAGGTTTGACGATCTGTCGCAATGAAAAACAAACAAGCTCAAGACCAACGGCAGCTCACGGGCCTGCTGCAGATTTTGAGGGAAACTACTCCTAAAACTAGCCAATGCGTTTACCAACAAAAAAAGGCAAGAACGTTAATTAAAAATTGCGGGTTAGCCGCTAAAAGTTGTCGATCTTCTCAATAACTCTAAGTGGTGAAATGTTAATCTGCTGGACAAACTCACAAGATCAGTGTACACATCGTTAAAAGCAGCATACACAGCAGCAAGCGAGTCGCTAAGGCCACTGATCAACTCATAGCGTTAGCCAGGAGAGCTAACTAGCTAACGGGACAACATCAACCCGAGACACAGTTTAGGATTAGCCGATAAGTTGAGTGAAGTGCCAGTCTTTCCGTAGCTGGAACATTTCTACAGGGCCACAGCACTGCATAACCACAGCGCTGACAAAATAAAGACATTTACAGCTGGTGAATGAGCTTTAACCTCGATAACTCTACTACGCTCAGCAGTAACGATACTCAGTTGTCGGCCCTCGAGAGAGCATCAGCCCGTCTCTTCGTTAACGTTAGCTTGCAGCGACCGTGGCACCATATATCGCAGTAAAACTCACCCCCTTGAGTCTTTTGATGAGAGTATTCTTCTGGCCGCTCTTCGACAGCCCCCTCTCCTCGAGAGCGGCCTTTAAGTCCGCTACTCGAAGGGACTGGAGCGGTCTCCCGTCCAGCGTAACGTCTTCAAGGTCCGCCATTTTCCGTTCCTCTTGTCAGTTCCCAGCGAGAGCGACGATCAACGCCTTCATCGACGTCACGTCATCGCCGACGACTTCCCCCCGAAATCAAATATCAAATAAAATAAAACGTTTAGAAACATTTTAAATCCCAGACCAAACCAAAATTACTTTCATAAGCCAAATGTATTAGTTGAAATGGCGTCGTTAAAAAATTATGGTATTAATATTTAGATTTTGTATGCGCCACATCTTGCGCAACATCTGCGCAAACCTGACGTCCTACACAGCACAACTAGTTAACTGCACCCCGCTTCCTGTTAGCAGCTCTTTGGATTTACGTGAATGTCGTTCGGCTTCTCTGCACCTCGACTATGTCGGTAGTGAGTTGATATACGTTTTAAAAATAATGGGGAGTCACAACTCTATATCTTAAAGGTAGTAATTAGCTAGCAATAGCGACTTTAAAGTCAGAGCCCGCCCGTTTGTGCTCCTTAAACAAAACGTTAAGCTAAGCTAAATGGATTATTGAGCTGTTTAAGATGTCGTGGTTTAATTATGTCAGTCAAAGCTCAAGTCAACACCAGCCCACTGACAATCAAGGAATTACAGGCATCCTGTGCAGTTCTCCCAACCCAGTGTTCACGTGCCCTGCGAGTTTCCCTGCTCCCAGCTTGGGTGAATTTCCCCCAGCTCCTCAAGGTGTAGTCAGCCCTCCCAGCCTTGAGAAGCTGTCCTGCGCTTCTCCGAGTGCAGGTCAAGTTAGAGAGCCCGAACCCATCTCCTACGTAACCTTCCAGGAGCAGCGGTGTGTCCTGAGCTGGTTCCAGAGCTGGACTCCCGTTCAGAGGGAGCGGTTTCTCCAGGACCTTCTGGGGAAAGCTGTGCCGGGGAAAGTGTGCACCCTCCTAGACTCACTCAGCACTCTCCAGGTACTTTATGCAAACTTGCAAACACATGGTCTGGAGAGGAGTGCAATTTCTAGTAAATAACTGGCGCTTTCTTCCTCTGTGTAGGTTAAAGACAAACTTCCAAACATCTTTGAATGCCAGCTCCGCCTGTGGACGCAGTGGTTTGAGTCTTGGGGAGAAGAGGAGAGGAATCATTTCCTACACATGCTGGAAGAGCGGGACCCGGATTTTGTTACCCACTTTTACAGGAGTGTAGCGGGTACAGCAGGAAGAGACTGAGCAATGTTTGCATTGTGATAGAAAAGCAAGTAATAAAGGGGTGATGTGTGGTGTGGAAAACACATTCTTTGAGTCTCTTTGTAGAAAATTTAGCCTTCTTGTAGATCGTAGTGTTCGTATACGTTTTGTAAGTAAAGTTCTGCATGCCTGCTCCGCCTGGGTTTTTTTTAAGTTTTTAATTGATTGACACGAATTTGTAAATAAACAGGTTTAACATCTAGCTGTGGGTTAATATCTAAACAGGTATAACTCTTCTGTGAGGCAATTAACACATCTGGAATAACATGGACAAGAAACACTTTGTTTTAATAACGAGAATAAACAAAATCTTTTAGTAATGAATTTTATTAATAGGCACTTGCGGAGACACCTTACATAGAATCAAATATCAAAATCACAGTATTGATAAAAATAACAGCTGGTAAAAACCATGGAGTTAAAAGCATGATTCAAATCAAAGAGAATAGGCAGACTTAAGGTTGGCTTTGAAGACAGGGAGAGAATGTTGCAAGCATGGTATATTTGTTTTACAGTCAGAAGCATTTAATAGCAACAATAGCAGAAATATGTGCACTTATTCTTCAGTTATTATTTTATTTCCCATACTCGTAAATGTCACACATTTTGACATGGGTGCGGACAGAACTTCTCGTGACCCTTATTTTATCCAGTCAGTTGCTCCAGGAGTAATTAAAACTACTGGATTTGGAGCGCTGCCATCTTCTACACAGAAATTGACAAAAGGGTAAATTTTTCCTGTGAAGCGCTGACCTACAAAAGTATACATATGAGTTCTGGACCCTGAATCATAAAACGAGATGGTTCCCTTTTTGTAATCTAGCAGGATACCCAGGGTAACTGGTTGTATCTCAGTAGGAATGGGAACCGCTCTCTGCTCTATAGCTCTGTACTGACCCTGTTTGTCCAGGACTATAGTCCAGTAATCATTTGTTGGACTGAAGGTTATTGATCCCTTTCTTCGAGAAGATTCACTGGTCATCCCAAGGTGGTAACAGGTCTTTCCAGCTACTGAAACCTCCCAGTAATGCTTGCCAGATGAGAAGCCAGTGGCACCCAGGACCCCCAGAATCACATCAAACCGTCTTGGATTGTTGGGGACGTCTTGTATAAAATCTGTAGTGGACATCTCGGTTTCATCATCAGATAAAA